TGTTCATAGTAGTTATTGATTATTCTTTTGATTTCTGCTGTGTCCGTTGTGATTTCTCCTCTTTCATTTATGATCCCATTTATTTGTGCTTTCTCCCTTTTTTCCTTTGTGAGCCTGGCTAGGGGGTTGTCTATTTTATTGATTTTTTCGAAGAACCAGCTCTTGGTTTCATTGATCTTATGGATTGTTTTTTTAGTTTCAATTTCATTTATTTCTGCTTTGGTTTTTATTATTTCTTTTCTTCTGCTGGTTTTGGGGTTTTTTTGTTGTTCTTTTTCTAGATCTTTGAGCTTCGAGATTAGGTTGTTTCTTTGAGTTCCTTCTTGTTTCTTCATGTGAGCCTCTATTGCTATATATTTTCCTCTTATTACTGCTTTTGCTGCATCCCACACATTTAGGAAATTGGTATCCTCATTGTCATTCAATTCAAAGAATTTTTTAATTTCTTCTTTGATCTCCTCTTTAGTCCAGTGGTCTTCCAGTAGTGTGGTTTTCAATCTCCAAGAGGTAGGATAGTTCCTTGCCTTCTTTTTATGGTTTATTTCTAGTTTGATGCCTTCATGGTGAGAAAAGATGGTTGGTATGATTTCAATCTTGGTGTATCTGTTGATGTTTGTCTTGTGTCCCAGTATGTGATAGATCCTGGAGAACGATCCGTGTGCACTTGAGAAAAATGTGTACTCCTTTTTTTTGGGGTTTAGTGTTCTATAGATATCTGTTAAGCCCAAGTGCTCTAGGTCCTTATTTAGAGCTTTAGTGTCTTTACTTATTTTTTGTCTCGTTGATCTATCCATTGTTGTTAGTGGTGTGTTGAAGTCTCCCACTACGTATGTGTTTTCTCTGATGTCTGTTTTCAGAGATGCCAATAGTTGTCTGATATATTTTGGTGCTCCTTCGTTTGGTGAATATATGTTAATGAGTGTTATCTCTTCTTGAAGTATTGTCCCCTTGATCATAATGTAGTGACCATTGGGGTCTCTTTTTACCTTTTTGAGTTTGAAATCTGTTTTATCTGATATAAGTATAGCTGTTCCTGCTTTCTTTTTTGGTCCATTTGCTTGTAGGATTGCTTTCTATCCTTTAACTTTGAGTCTATTTTTATCTTTTGTAGCTAAATGTGTTTCCTGGAGATAGCAAAAGGTTGGGTTTTGTTTCTTAATCCAGCCTGCGACTCCATGTCTTTTTATTTGAAGAGTTTAGTCCATTTACATTTAGAGTTAATATTGATATGTTAGCATCTGCATTTGCCATTGTGTTTGTCTTTGCTTTGATTTTATTTATTTATTCTTTTAATAACTTTTTTTTTGCCTTCTTTCATTGTTATTTGTCCCTCTGAGGTTCTGGCTTTAGGACTCCTGCTAGTATTTTTTGGAGTGGGGGTTTAGTCGTAATGAAATCCCAAAGTTTCTGTTTGTCTGGGAAGGTCCTTATTCTTTCTTCATAGAGGAAGGAGAGCTTTGCAGGATAGAGTATTCTTGGTTGGCATCTGTTTTCTTGGAGTCTGTTGACTATGTCCCTCCACCCTCTCCTTGCCCGTAGTATTTCTTCGGAGAAGTCTGATGTCAGCCTGATTGGTTTTCCTTTGAATGTTATCTGTTTCTTCCCTCTTGTCAGCTTCATTATTTTTTCCTTGTCTTGGATTCTTGGGAGCTTTACTATTATGTGTCTTGCTTTATTTTTCCTTTTGTCGGGGAAGTTTGGTGTTCTTCTTGCTTCTTGTATATCAATTTTCAGCTCCTGCTTCACGTTTTGGAAGTTCTCTTCAATTATCTCCTTGAATATTTTCTCTGTTCCAGCATCTCTGTCCTCTCCTTCTGGTATTCCTACAACTTTTATATTTCCTTTACTCATGGAGTCAGATAGTTCCCGAAGTCTTTCTTTGGTCTTTTTCCTTCGTACTTCTCTTTCCTTTTCTGTTTTGCTTCTTTTTATTTCTGTGACATCAAGAGTGCTTATTCGTTCTTCCATTTCATCTATTCTGCTTTCATTGCTTTTCCCAGAGTTCTTTAGTGCCTCCACTAATTCTTTGATCTCCTGCATTTCTTTTACATCTTGATCTCCTGAATTTCTTTTACATCTCCTGCATTCTTTGATATCCTGCATTTCCCTCTTTAGGAACTCAATTTCATTCTTCTGATCGTTGATTATTTTTCCCTTATCATTGTTTTCCTTTATGAATTCTGTCATTTTTTTAATCATGGAAATTTTAAATTCTCTTTCTGGAAGGTTCAGAAGTTCTTCCAAGTTACTGTCATTGCAATCTGGGGGGTGGTTTTCTTTTTGTGGTGTGCTTTTTTCCTGAGGAGTTGATAGGTTGCGTGTGGTTCTTCTACTCTCTACTGTCTGTTTTCTAATTTGCCGTATGCATTGGGACACTGTGTTGCTGGGACTGGCCAGCATCTTTGGTGAACTTCTCCACTCCCCTCTGGCTCCTCCGGGAGCCATCTGTCGGTTTCAAGCTCTTTACTGAAGAAATGTCCCTGTTCTAAAATGGCGATGTGGGACGCACTCCCTGTATGCCTGGTCTGCCCCAGCGGTGGGTTCCCGTTCCCCCTCTGGGCTTGGACTGCAGGCCAGAAGGGGCCTGGCGTGGGCGAACTTCCCAGCTCACCTCTGGCTCCTCTGGGAGCCTTCTGCTGGTTTCAGGCAGTCTTTACTGGAGAAATGTCCCTGATCTAAAATGGCTATGTGGGACGCACTCCCTGCGCGCCTGGTCTCGGGCACACTCTTCTGCGTGCCCAGTCTGCCCCGGCTGTGGGTGCCCACTTCCCCTCTGGGCTTGGACTGCAGGTCAGAAGAGGCCTGGCGTGGGCGAACTTTCCAGCTCACCACTGGCTCCTCCGGGAGCCTTTTGCCGGTTTCAAGCAGTCTTTTCTGAAGAAAGGTCCCTGTTCTATGGGGTGTTGGTGATTTTTTTTTTTTCTGGTTGCTAGGTGGCACCAGAGATCTCTCCTAGTGTCCTTGGGGAGCTGTTTTTTTCACCCTGTGGGAACGGGGAACAGAGTGGGAGTGGTGGGAAAGGCCTCAACGGCTTTGGGGTGCTGTTTCTACCTTGTGCCCCACCGTCGTTGGAAACTCACGCCCCGATTTTCATGCCCCGGGTCTCAGTTCCAAAGCCCTTGGTTTCGGACGCGGGCTGTAGCCCAGTTCAGTGTCCGCAGAAATGGTGCCTTTTGCACCCCTCTCCCATGCCTGGGCGCCTGGTTTCTGATTACTCAGTGAGGGATATTCACCTCAGTGAGTGCCCCCATGCATCTCTTCGCAAGCCTAGGTCGCAGGCGCGGGGACCTGGGCAGCCGCAATCCGCGTTTGCTTTTCAAGCGCGCTGCTTTTCCGCGCAAGCTTACCGGCTGGCCTGGGGCTGTGTGTAGATCTCCGGGAGTCTTTGTTTTTCTCTAATGGTGCCTAGAGCCGTTCGCTCACCTCTGTTGCGAATCCTGCAGGGTTCTCCATAGCTCCAGTTCACGGGGTGTGGTGGCTGAAATAGTTCTTTTCCAGTCACAGTCCTGCTTGATGCATAGTTTGTTCTTGTTGGTTGTTTTAGTTTTTTTGTTTTTTCCTCCTTTCTGTTGGTCGGAGAGTGCCGACTTTGTGGGTGGGGGAGGGTAGCAGGGTTCTGAGTTTTCCTCCCTTCTAGTCCTCAAGTTTGTGTTTTTTGATTGCCGAGTAGTATTTCATTATGTAAACATACTACAGCTTTTGGAGCAGTATGTCCATTTTGGGCCATTTGAGTTGTTTCCATATCTTGGCTATTGTAAACATTGCTCCTATAAACAGTATGCACTGCCATTTTTATTGCAGCACTATTTACTATAGTTAAGCTATGGAAACAACCTAAGTGCCTAAAACACATGAGTGCATTAAAAAGATGTGGTATTTATACACAATGGAATACTACTTGGTGAACAGAAAGGTAAACTCAAGCCATTTGTGTCTACATGGATGGAACTGAAAGGGATTATGCTTAGTTAAATAAGCCAGAAGGAGAAAGATAAATACTAGATGGTGTTATTTATATGTGGAATATAGAGAAAACAGAGTCAGACAAAGACAAAATTTAAAACCCACTCTTATTTGCTTATAAGAATGCAACAGATTTTTGTATGTTGATTTCATTGCCTGCTACTTAACTGTATTGATTTTTTGTTTCCCCCAGTTTTTTAGAGGAGTCTAAGGTTTTCTTTGTACTATTATTGTGTTCTACAATAATGATAATTTTACTTCATCTTTTCCAATTTGGATTCCTTTGATAGCTTTCTCTTGCCTAATTGCTGTAGCTAAGATTTCCAATACAATATTGAACATTAGCTGTAAGAATGGTCATCCTTGTTGTGTACCTGATCTTAGAGGAAAAGCTTTTAGTTTCTCTTGAAACTGTGTTGGCTGTGGGTCTGACATATATGAACTGCATTATGTTTAGGTATGTTCATTTTATACCCATTTTACTAAGAGTTAATTTTTTATCATAAACGATGCTGAATTTTGTCAAATGCCTTCTCTGCATATATTGGTTACCATATGACCTTTGTCTTTTCTTTTGTTGATATGATTAATTTACATATGTTGAACTATCCTTGCACATTAGAAATAAATTTCACTTGGTCATAATGTATGATTCATTTCACATTGTTGAATTCAATTTGCTAAGATTTTGTTGAAGATTTTTGCATATTTGTTCATCAGGGATATTAATCTATAGTGTTGTGCATGTGTGTGTGTGACCATGTGCATACATGTGCCTGTGTGTGTGTGTGTGTGTAATGTCCTTATCTGTTTTAGTTTCAGAATAATGATGGCCTCATAATATGTGTTTGGGAATAATCCCTCTTCCTCAGTTTTTGGGAAACATTTGACAATGGGTCTTAGTTCCTTGAAGGTTTTGTAGAACTGACTAGTAAAACCATCTCTGGGCTTTTGTTTTCTGGGAGAGTTTTGATTACTCTTTCAATATCCTTGTTTGTAACTGGCCTGTTCAGATTTTCTGTTTCTTCCTGATTTAGATCTAGGGGGCCTTGCAAGAGGTGAGGAGTGAAGGTTTCTTTCCAGTTACAGCAACATGAAGCAACACTTCCAGACATCCTCGTCTATAAAATTGGAGCTGTGATGATTGGTGTCCAAGTTCCCAGCATGGCTATGGCTATCCAATACCATGTAATTCCCATGGGAAGCATTTATGACTTCATTTAAGGGACTATTTGTAAGCTATTGGCTTCTTCCATTTGTTCCATGGAGCATGGAAAATGAATTTGCAATCAACCCTCTTGGCCTGATCCTACTGTTTCCACTAAGCACGAGAACATTTTGGCATCATTAGGTGGGTAGGAGGAGATACTGCGTTCCCAGAATGGTTTGTCCATGTAGTCATCAGTGGAATCAGAACCAGGAATTGACCACCTGAGCAGATACTGCCGACTGTCGATGAGTCTAGATTTGCTAACCTGTGACCAGAAAGTATTATTATATCCTAATTTTGTAGAACAGTTCACAGTCTCACTACCCTAACGCTGAATATTGGCAAAAAAGGCTGCAGTGGCATTCCCAAGGAGTTGTTGCAGGGAGCTGGCTTGCCTTGAGGCATTTGGAGTTTGCATTTTTACCACTACACTCACACATCTTACTTAGATATCAGGATGACAGTAATGATGGCCCTTATTTATTAACTTTGCAAACATTATCTCCAAGCCACACAATAACCCTAGGAGGTAAGTATTATTATTTTCACAATAAGGAACTGACGTTTAGAGAAGTAGCTAAGAAACTTGCTCAAGACCACAATAAGGAATGAAGCTGGAAATCAAGTCTCACATCTGTCTAACTACAAAGCCAGTTATTTCCCCACTGCAACATAATGTCAACTTACAGCAAGAGGGCTGGTTCTGGATTTAAAATATATATTTTCCGGGCCTCGCTGGTGGCTCAAGGAGTTAAGACACAACCTATGAAGCTGTTCACTGCCAATGCAGCATGAGTTCGATCCCTGCCCAGGGAGCAACCCACATGACACAGCAGACCTCAGCTGTCTCACCCGCTGCTCCCTCAGCAGTGTATTTCAGTAGATCTTCCTGTTCTGTTCCCCACTCTGTCTCTGGTGAATCCTGTCACTCCCACACTTTTGGCCTGTACCCCAGTTCTTGTATGCATAAATAAATAAATATTAAAAAAATATGTACTTTGCATCTTCTTCATGCACTCATCTGGTTTTGGGCCCTTAGGCTGTTTTCATACTTGGAACTTTAAATCAATCCTTGAAAGCTGACAATAGAACTGAGGCATCCAGAGCCGGAGAGATGTGGGGGAAGGATGATAAGGAGGGGTTAAGCAAAGGGTCGGGGGGAGAACACAGTGGATTATAGTGGAGGACTATATGCGTTATGGTGGTGGGTGTACTATGGTGACTACACCTGGGTGGGGGGAAGCCTATACTTCCGAAAACACTAACAAGGATGCAAAACAGGTGTACTTTCATTAAAAATAAAAATTAAAAAATAATAAAATAAAATAATCACAGCCCCAAATATCCATGGAGATCTTGGTACTTCTTTCATGTGTTACCGAGAATGATCTTGCCCCCTCACACTACCAAGAGGGTTACACCATAATCTCCGGAAATTGTGGATGTCTAACTTTAAATGGTACAGGGGCTGCAGTGTGATTATGTTAGGGATCTTGAGATGGAGGTTTTCCTGGTTTATCTGGGTGGACCCAGTATAATCACAAGAGTTCCTATAAGAGGGAGGCACGAGGGTCACAGCAAAAGAAGGCAATGTGATTGTAGAAGCAGAATCACAGAGACCAGAAGATGCTGTGTTGCTGGTTTGCAAAATGAAACACAGGGCCACAAGAAGTTGGAAAAAACTAGGTAATGGATTCTTGCCTAGATCCTAGGAAACTAACATAGCTTTTGTCTTTAAGACCCATTTTTTGGACTTCTTATTTATATAACCATAAGATAATAAACTTGTGTTGTATAAACTATTAAGTTCATGGTAATTTGCTATCTAACTCTAGGACTCTAACCCACCCTGGAAAATATTATTTCCAGATGACAAGAGGTGTCTTTAAAGTAATTGCTGGAAAAGAGCCACCATGAAAACCGGTGATTATTAAAGGCAGCCCCTGAGACACTGATGTCATTGGCCAGAACTGGTGGTACCTCCTGCCATATTTCTCAGGCATGACTGCCTGGCACCTCCTCTTGGTTATGGCTCCAACTTCTTCACTGCTCTGCCTTCAGGGCTCCATCTGTGACCTTGATTCTCCATCAGGGAGGGAGAATGTGGCAACTACCTGGTTGATTGCACTGGCCCTGCCACTTCTTTCACCTCTGCTAGGTTCTCTGTCAGGCCAGAAACACCAGGCTTTGAAGAAAAAAAATAATGACCGTCATGGGTTGTACGATATGTCTGATGACTATAATGACAGATTGGGGCCAGTCTTTCAATGTCTCAGCCTTAATGAGCTCACCTGTAAAATGAGGATAGGAACACGTAACTCATGGAGCTGTTGTGGGTGAAATGTAGATGATTTGCGCAAAATACAGCCTGAGGCACCAAGCCAGTTTCCCCTAAGTGACAGCTCTTATTGCTATGAATCTATAGTGTAAACATGAGTTATGGGAATGAGAGACACGGTGATCTCAGGTTTAATATCCACACAGGTATTTAGAAAACACATGATTGCTTTGTGTCAGGCATTTCACTACAATACAGAATTTCAGTGCAGGCTTGCTTTATAATACAGGATTGAATGTGGATTTGGATTCTACCCACAGCTGATAGCTGTATCTTTCTTCTTTTTATGTTAACAATTAAGAAGTCAAAATTTACAAATGTTTTGGTGTGGGTATCACTAAAACATTTGAAGTCTATGAAGGGATTTTGTGGACGTGAAAACCGGTATAGGAAAATCTGGTAAGTGGAGAATAGAGCAAGAATAGACAGGCATATGAGCTGCTGTGGGATGCTTAATACTGAAAGTTAAGATTCTGCCATATGAGAACTATCCCTGTGACCTAGTGCGGCAGGCTGTGCCTCCCATGCTGTCTCTTGACATGGTCCGGGCATTGGGGGAGACTCCCAAGAAGCGGGGAGTCCCTGTGCTCCCCCGAAGAGGGAAATTGAACTTCCCAGAAGAGGGGAGTTCTTGCACTTCCCAAAGAAGATCGGAACTAGGGAGTCTCCATGGCAACGCCTACTAAAGCTCTCCTCTTTGTTCTTGGTTAATGCTGAAGCAAGTTAGTTATAATTTGGGCATGTGAAAACCTAATTTGGACCCAGGTGACAATTGGCTTATTGTTCTTACACATGAACTATCACAAAAGAAGTAAAAAATTGTTTAACGTATAGTTAGGAAAGAAATGTTTTGGCCCTGAGAACAATGGAGAACAAACTGCCCTGAACCAGCTGTGCTTGGAAACCATAGCCTAACCTGGGGGGTACCTATTTGCGGCAACAATATATTTTCTGGTGTATGCAAGAGGTCAATAGTTTGCAGGCCGTGTGGGGGTTAGGAATTTCTAGTTAAGAGTTAGACTTCAGTAGAACTTACATAGATTTGATGAGTTGTCTCAGACCACTTTAAAGTAATTAATATATTAACCAAATTAATTGAGTGCTAGGGGATAGATTGATTTTTGTAATTGAATATAGAATAGGAATCTCACACCCACTTTGTAATTGAGAAAGTTTAACTGTTGCCAAATGTTGTGCTGTCTGGTATGATTGATCATGCTAGTAAATGAGCTGTACCTAGGAAACTAATTGTTCTTAGGTTACCAAAGAAATGGCCTACAGGTATAAGGCCAAGGGAGTCTTTACATGATCATGAGAAAATATGATTGTCTTTGCTCTGCTTCAATGTTTATGCTGATGTAATCCCACCGCTCGCCTTAAGGTATAAATAAAGACCCGCTGAGACCCACAGCAGGAGATATTTGCACGAACTAAGGTGTCTGTGTCTACCTCACTCCTACCTCGCTCCACTTCCTCTCAGCCCTCTCCAAAAAAACTTCACCGACTCTGTCCTCTCCTTTCTGAGATCCCTGACGCGACTTCTAGCTGGAACTGGTCTCCAGCAACTAGAATATACAAAGGTCCCTTGGTGTCCCCTTTCCAAGGCAGTATAAAGAGAGTTACCCAGACCCATTCACCCATCCAATATCCCGTCTCCCCCTCCCCATGACTCCAGGATAACTGATCAGGAAGCCACTATAAGATCTTATGAGCCCCTTTTGTATAAAATGTATATCCTGCTGGGTGCTGTGAGGTCACCGGGATGTTTGAAGCTGCTGATTTAATGTGGAAAAAGTTATAGCAAAAGAGAAGAGTAGAAAGCATCAAAACTATGTAACAGGGCAGAAGTTACACACTTAGCAGCATTTATGGGGAGCTACTATAAGGACTAACATTGGATATCAATTACATGTCAGACACTTTAATGATCTACTTAGCTTATATATTCACCCTCTGTCCATGCCCCACAAAAAGTAAGTGATGAAACCAAGATCTGGAACCAGGTTATCTGATTTCAGAGTCTATACCAAGCACCAGGATCAAATGTAAATAAATGGAGCAGAGTGTATGTTTTTAGAATTCAGAGGCGGGAGAGAAAGCTGTGACCTGAAAAAGTCAGTGAAAATTTCATGGAGGAAATGGCTTTCAGGTGAGCCTGGAAGGAGAGCTAGAATTCAGACAGATGGAGAGGAGGGTGATTAGGAATAGCACAAATAATAGATATTAACCGAGTACATGCTATACTGTAGGCCCTGGTCTACATGCTTGAATAGAACCTTGAGCTAACAGATACATATCCTTGCCTTTGTGGAGCTTACATTCCGGTGGGAGGAGAAAGACAAGAAATTAAATGCATCACAAGTAAATTATGGGCACAATATATGGTAATAAGTATAATAGAAAAAGAAAAGGTAGAGGAGTATGCTAGTTTCCTGTGGCTGCTATAGCAAATTACCACAAGCTTGGCTTAAAATAACTCTCTTATCCTCTCACAGTTTTGGAGGTCAGTAGTCATATCAGTTAAAAGTTTCACTAAGTTACAAAGTCAGAGTGTCAGGAGGCTGTTCCTTCTGGAGACTCTGAGGAGAGAATACACTCCTTACCTTTTTCAACTTCTAGTGGCGACGATCCCCCTTGGATTTCGGTCACTTCCTCCACTTTTAAAGTACACAGGTTTTTATTGGGATTACCAGGTACACAGCAGGCAGGGGTGCTGGGGGGCCGGGAGGCTGGCAGGCCTCCCACCCCCAACAAGTCTTCACTCTATCTGGGCTCTCC